GTCGGGATTCTAGAGGTTTTCCTCTGCTCCTTTGCCGCAAACACCGATGGCTGAGATCAATAGGTTCCTCATAGCCAGAGAGGCCAGCATGATGCGGGGAGAAAATCCATAGACATGGTTCTAGGTGCCAGATGGGTGTTTTTACTTGAGTTTTGCTATTTCCACTTAATAACCCATCATTACACATAAAATGCAATCTGTACTGTGTGTATAATTTATTATATATGACTAGAGGCCCGGTGCATGGGCTCATGCATGGATTCATGCACCAGTGGGGTCCCTCAGCCTGGCCTGCGGGGATCGGGCTGAAACCAGCAGTCCGACATCCCCTGAGGGGTCCTGGATTGTGAGAGGGCGCAGGCCAGGCCGAGGGACCCCACTGGTGCATGAATCTGTGCACCGGGCCTCTAGTGTGCATATACGATCTTTGGTTAATCTCTTCCTGCCCTCTCCCCTCCCCTCTTCCCTCTGAGATTCATCAGTCTGTTCCATGTTTCCATGCCTGTGCGTTGAGTGTCTGCCCCCTGGTGGTCAGTGTGCATCATAGCTACCGGTCGAACGGTCAGATGGTCACTTAGGCTTTTACATACATAGATAGAGTGGTACAGTCTATGACTTACCTGTGTATGGCTTGTGTAATCAGAATGACCAGGCTCAGAGCTCTGTGAAATCATTTCAGTTTTTAATCCAATGAAGTTTGAAGAAGCCTTGGGGTGCCAGGACTTACATTGTATCGGAACCTAAGACGAGAATCCTATGTGTGTGTTTCAAGTCAGGCCCAGCCAGCGCGCCTCAGTTCCCAGAGGCCCAGGATGCAGCTTAACAGGCTTTGCAGCGGTTTGTTCTCCCTCCAGTCCTGGTTCTGGCAAGTCCTGGAATCCAGAAACCAGAGGGAAAGGGGTGAGAGAAAAGGGGAGCCAGAGACGCCCAGAAGGCAGTTGCCGAGTGGGCCCCGTTGGGCATTTTTCTTTACTCGTTGCAAAACCAGAGAAAAGGCCTCCATTTCTACTAATCCATAATCATCGGTCAACTCTACAGACTGCCGCTGAGAGAACCACGTACCAGCGAGGCCCGGGATTCCTCCGGCCAGCGGGGTGGACGCAGGGAGACCAGGGGGAGAGGAAGGACGGGAACCGGTACTGGGGACCCACTCCACACGTCATTTACAGAGACAGCGGGTGTCCACCACGTGCCGGGCACTGGTCTCGGGGCCGGTGCAGGATGGAAAAGACAGGTGCGTCCCTGTTGTCAGACAGGTTCATTCCTAAAGACATGAATGTCTGCCCCACGCTGGCCGCCACGCCGTTGAAGGGGACTTCGGGAGGGCCGGGGCCGGGATGGGCAGTCGGCTCGATTCGCAGGCACTCCGCCCTGGTCTCCCTCTCACCCCGAAGGGCCCCACAGGCCTCATCCCTAATTTAATCATTGAAATTGACGTTTTTACTGAGATAATTCTAGGTTCACATGCAGTTTTGAGAATCACTATCGAGAGATCCTAGGTACCCACTCCCCAGCTTCCCCCGCAGCAACATTTTTTTCTTAAAGTTTTTAAAATTTGATTTACTGATTTTAGAGAGAGAAGAAGGGGGGAGAAAGAGAGAGAGAGATTTGTTGTTCCACTTACCCGTGCATTCATTGGTTGATTCTCGTATGTGCCCTGACCAGACTCGAACCCACAGCCGTGGTGTATCAGGGCGACGCTCTAACCTCCTGAGCTGCCTGGCCAGGGCCCCTGGCAGTAACACTGTGCAACTGAAGTGCACGCTTCCCATGAGGACACTGGCGGGGATGCAATCCCTCCATGGTTTTCAATTCCCCGCTTTCACTTGCTCTTGCACTCACGTGTGTGTGCTAAGTTCTACACAATGTTATCACCTGCGTGGGTTCGGGTATTCACGGCCTCAGTCAGGGTCCCGACAGTCCCAACACGCGGCCATCCGTTGTGCTGCCGACCGGGACCACCTGCCTCCCGCTCCCCGTCCCCGATCCCACCCCTGGCGACCACT